CAAGAAGAAAGAAGGAGAAACTGCTTTTATATGGGATCAAGGCCCGTCTTTCAGACCCAGAAACCATCCCACCTATTCTTTTCCTTACCCGTATTACACCAATCCTCAACCAGTCTACCACACCACTACCCAATTCCATCATTCCGACCAAATCATTTGAATACCTCGCCCTTACCTCCAACTCCACAACCTGTTTTTCAAAATCACTCTCGTCCCATTTACCATTCCAGACCAACCCTGCAAAACAATAACCCTTCTCAAAATCCTTTGCAAACCAGTGGAATTCAAACTCAGAGGCAATTTCGAACCTTCACCAACTTGGGCCGACCTATTGATCAGTTGTATGAGCAATTAAAAGCAGCTGGAAAAATTGGCACTGTTCCTCCCAAAATCTATCCTAGAGGTCCTCCTGCCGGTTATGATCCGCATGTAATCTGTGCTTATCATTCTGGAAGTCCAGGTCATACCACTGGCAATTGTTGGGCTTTAAAACATAAATTCAGGACATGATTGACTCTGGAGACATCCTTCTCAGAAGAAAGGGAGAGCAGGGACCGAATGTTAGTAAGAATCCTCTTCCTGAGCATGGGAGCACTGTGGGGGTTATCATCGCTGATGAAGATTTTGTCGACCCCAGTCAGTACATTGTAGATGAAACTGAAGTATTTGGCGTGATGGAGACTGACCATGCGGAGATGAGGAAACTACTGTCTGTTAAAGAGTCCATAACTAAGGATAGTGCTGAGAAAAATTAAAATCTTTTGTGTTTGAGAAAGAGAGCCGTTTATGGTAGAAGGAGGGCCTTCCGAGGTTGACAATTCTGAGGTTCCTTTTATTTTGGATCTTCCTTCTTTTGAATGGGATATATCAGAGCCTGCCATTCTCGAATTTCCAGAGCAAATGCCTGTCAATAACTTGCAAGAGGTACCATGGAACTACGAGGAGCCCAGTCTGTTAATTGGGGGTAAAGATTGTTTGAAGGAAGATATATCTACTATTACTAGATCTGGAAAATTGTGGGAAACTCCGATATTGATGTTCAATCCAGGGCCAAAGTTAAATCTCCACACCCAAGCCTCGTGTGTCTGAAAATGAAGCTGTAGATTTTCTGAAAATGCTGAAAAGAAGCGAGTACAAAATAGTGGAGCAGTTGGATAGGATGCCTGCTCAGATTTCTTTTCTGAATCTTCTCTTGACTTCCGAGCTGCACAGAGAAGCATTGCTCAAAATTCTGAACGAAGCTCAAGTCCCTAAAGATATTCCGGTGGATAAATTTTCTAACATTGTGGGGAATGTACTTGCTGCTAATCATATTACCTTCTCCGATGATGATCTGACTGCAGAAGGGATCGGGCATAACAGAGCTTTGTATATATCGGTCCGTTGCAATGGAAAGCTGTTGCCGAGGGTTTTAGTGGATAATGGGTCAGCGTTGAATATCTGTCCATGGAACACTCTCACCAAGCTTGGATTTCTTGATATTAAACTCCGTCCATCTGCAACTGTGGTTCGAGGATTTGATGGTTCAAGGAGGGAATCTATGGGTGAAGCAGATCTCGTATTGGAGATAGGCCCTGCTCAATTCCAAGTTACTTGCCAAGTCATGGATTTCTCCAGTGTTTACAACATTTTACTTGGAAGACCTTGGATACATGCTTCCAATTCAGTGCCATCTTCTCTGCATCAAATGTTGAGGTTTATTGAATGATCAACTCATTACTGTATTTGCTGAGGATGACTGTACCATGATCATTGATGCAAAATTCAAAGGTGAAGACAGAAAAGGGACTCCAATTTCATCTCATCATGTTGCTGACATAGTCTCTGTAGGATGGGCATCTAGGGATAAGTCGTTCACTCAATCAGATTTGCCAGAGGCCAGTATTATGATGGCTAGGGAGATGATCCGAGGCGGATACGAAATAGGAAAAGGTCTTGGGAGGGAATTGCAAGGAATTTTGGAGCCAATAGAGATCCCGACGCAGAAGGATACATTTGGACTGGGATTTCATCCAACTGCTAAGGATAGAAAGGAAATGCAAGCTCGGAAACAAGCCGAAAAGAAGGGCAAGCAAACTGCCTTATATATCCCTCCGCTATATCACATTTTTCCTCGTCCATCGAGGTGATTATGCCTGAAACGAAGAATCCTGTGGAGGAGATTGAAGTGGACCTGTCTCAGCTATTTGTCGGGGCTACTTGTGAGGAGGAGCCATCAGAGAATGCAGAATTTTTGCCAATTACCGAAGGAGCTATTCAGAATTGGACTGCTGATTATCTTCCCTCTCGAAGGGAATTTCGGTAAATTTAAGGGGATTGTCTTTTGTCTAGATCACATCCAGATAGGACAGTAGTCTGGATCTTTTGTTAAAAGAAATTGCTTTCATCTTTTAAACCTTTATTCTTGTTTCAGTTAATATAACTTGCTTTGTTCAAGAAAATTGCTGAAACGAAAATAAAGGTTTGGGTTAAATATGTCTTTAAATAGCAATCATGTCTGTATATTTATCTTTTTGTGAAGTCACGATGCATTTTGAATTTAATGAAATGAAACTTCTCCAGTATTTGCTATTTGTTTATTACTTATGTTCTATTCTATTTTCAGATGGCCACAAATAAAATCCTTTGACCCTTTGGATGTCACCATTTTGGAATTCGATGGCTGCAATCTCGATATCTCTCATGAACTTGAAATCATGCAATCTGAAATTCAAAGCGAGAGCGATATGAGGAAGAATTTGAGTCTATTTCAAGGGATTTAAAACAGTATGAAGAGAAACCCAAACCCAACTTAGAAGAAACAGAAATCATCAATATTGGCACTAAGACGGAGGTTAAAGAAGTTAAAGTCAGCATTCATTTGAATAGGAAACAAAAGGAGGAAATGATTGAATTCTTAATGCTTTTTCAAGATGTGTTCGCATGGTCATACGATGATATGCCAGGGATCTCTACAGACATAGTGGTTCACAGGTTGCCAACCGATCCAAATTTTTTACCTGTAAAGCAGAAGCCACGTAAATTCAAACCAGAAATGAGTCTCAAATAAAGGAACAAATTGTGAAGCAGCTCAATGCTAAGATAATCATGGTGTCTCATTATCCCATCTGGTTGTCGAATCCTGTGCCAGTGCCTAAGAAATCTGGGGAGGTGCGAGTATGTGTTGATTACAGAGATCTGAATAAGGCCAGTCCGAAAGACGATTTTCCTTTGCCAAACATTCATATTCTTTTGGACAATACTGCTGGACACGAAATTGAATCTTTTGGTGATTGTTTTGCTGGGTATCATCAAATTTTAATGGCAGAAGAAGACAGAGAGAAAACCTCTTTTATCACCCCATGGGGAACTTTTGTTATAGAGTGATGCCTTTCGGGTTGAAGAATGCTGGAGCCACTTATCAGAGGACCATGACTACCCTGTTCATGACATGATTCACAAAGAGATGGAGGTCTATGTGGATGATATCATAATTAAATCCAAGAAGGTTGAGACCATTTGGTTGATTTAAAGAAGCTGTTTGAAAGATTGAGGAAGTATAATTTGAAGTTGAACCCTGCAAAATGTGCTTTTGGAGCTCCGGCTGGTAAGTTATTGGGTTTTATTGTCAGCAAGGGTATAGAGATAGATCCTGCGAAAATAAAAGCAATTCGAGATATGCCCATTCCAAAAAGTCAAAAAGATGTGAAGAGTTTTCTTGGAAAGATCAATTTCATTGGCCGATTCATTGCACAGTTAACCTCTACCTGTGAGCCTTTGTTCAAACTGTTGAAAAAGAATGCGCCGATGGATTGGAATGAAGATTGTCAGCAGCTTTTGATAAGATCAAGAATTATTTGTTAAATCCTCCGGTCTTAGTGCCACCTCAGCCAGGGAGACCTCTGATTATGTATTTGTCTGTTCTTGATGAGGCTGTTGGATGCGTTCTGGGACAGCATGACGAGTCTGGGAGAAAGGAACAAGCCATCTACTATCTGAGCAAGAAATTTACAGCATATGAGGCCAACTATTCTTTCCTTGAGAGAAGTTGTTGTGCTTTAGCATGGGCAGCTCAGAAGTTGAGACATTATTTGCTCGGTTATACCACTTACTGATTTCCCGTTCCGATCCTCTGAAATACCTGTTGGAAAAGTCGATGCCCACGGGACGTATGGCTAAGTGGCAAATGATCCTTTCCGAATTCGATATTGTCTTCACAACACAAAAGGCAGTCAAGGGTCAAGTTATAGCAGATCATTTGGCAGAAAATCCAAGAGATGATGATTACCAGCCATTGCATACCTACTTTCCTGATGAAGAAATTCTGTTCGTTGGAGCAGTTGAGAACATGAGTGAGCAGCATCCTGGATGGAGGTTATTTTTCGATGGTGCATCAAACTCTTTTGGAGCTGGAATTGGAGCAGTTTTAGTGTCGCCTGAAGGGAAACATTATCCTGCTACTGCCAAATTACAGTTTCCTGTACTAACAACATGGCTGAGTATGAAGCTTGTATTTTTGGATTGAAAATGGCATTGGACATGGAGATCAAAGATCTGATAGCATTCAGTGATTCCGATTTACTTGTGCACCAGACGCTTAAACAGTGGGTAACTCGGGATTCAAAAATTATGTTGTATCATTGTAACTTGCTTAGTTTGGCCAGCAAATTCAGGAATTTGGAACTCAGACATATTCCCCGCACTCGTAATGCCTTTGCTGATGCTTTAGCTACTCTGTCTTCGATGATCCAACATCCAGATGAGCTGGTGATTGAACCTATACAGATCCAACTTCAGAATAGGCCAGCGCATTGTCTGGTTACAGAAAGGGTCACTGATGGTCGCTCCTGGTACAAGGATATTAAGGAATTCATGAAAACGGGATCTACCCTCCTGATACTGATTCTGTTGCAAAAAGTTTCTTACGCAGATGTCAGCAAGATTTTTTGAATGGAGAAGTGCTATAAGAAAACATCTGATTTGGGCCTTTGAGATGCATCAATGAAGAGGAAGCCGATTATATGATGAAAGAAGTGCATAGTGGGGTTTGTGGGCCACACATGAATGGGCATCTACTGGCTAAGAAGATCATGAGAACAGGATATTTTTGGCTTACCATGGAGCATGACTGTGTAGATTTTGTTAGAAAGTGTGTTAAGTGTCAAATGCATGGTGATGTTATACGTGCTCCTCCTACAGAATTGCATAGTATGACTGCTCCATGGCCATGTTCGATCTGGGGAATGGATGTGATCGGAACTATTGATCCTCCTGCTTCAAATGGGCATCGATTCATTTTAGTGGCATTGAATATTTCACCAAGTGGGTTGAGGCCGCGTCCTATAAGCATGTGACTAAGAAAGTGGTGTCGGATTTCTTGAGAAATAATATCATCTGTCGTTTTGGGGTACCAGAGACGTGATCACTGATAATGCCAAAAACCTCAACAATGATATGGTGGATGGATTATGTGAACAGTTCAAGATCAGACATCGAAATTCTGCTATTTATAGGCCTCAGATGAATGGAGCCGTTGAAGCCGCAAATAAAAATTTGAAAAAGATTATCGTAAGATGACTGAAGCACACCGGGATTGGCATGAGAAGCTGCCTTATGCACTAATGGCATACAGAACTACCATCAGAACTTCTACTGGTGCAACTCCTTACTCTCTTATGTATGGAATGGAAGCAGTCCTGCCTGCAGAAGTTGAAATTCCTTCCTTGCGCATTCTGATGGAAGCTCAGATAGAAGAAGCTGAATGGGTCAGAGAACGTCAGGAGCAGTTGTCTCTGATTGATGAAAAGAGGTTGAATGCCGTGTGTCATGGACAATGTTATCAGCAACGAATGGCTCGGGCTTACAACAAAAAAGTCAAGCCCCGCTTATTTGAAGTTGGAGATAAGGTTTTGAAACGGATTCTTCCAATGCAAGATGAGGCTAAAGGGAAGTTTGCTCCCAATTGGCAAGGACCATTCATTATTAAAAAGTGCTATCCGGAGGAGCGCTTATTCTTATGGAAATGGACGGTCAAGTTTTTCCCCAACCAATCAATGCAGACATGTGCAAAAAGTTTTTCATTTGAAAAAAAAAAAACACTGCAAGAGACGGATTTCAGGCATACTTCCTCTCATTTTTCCATTTCGATATTCTACCCTAATTTTTCTTCTTTCCTTTTGACTTTTCATAACCATTTTCCTTTTCGCTTGGTTGTCCCTTAAGATCACTAACCCCATACTGGGGCAATTCGTTTCTTAAAAAAAGAAAAAAAATAAAAAAAATAAAAAAAAAAGAGAGAGAAAATAGAGATTCTGTCAGAATTAAACTGGGGCAAATTTTATCTCTTTCTCACCCTAGATCGGGGTAAGTTTTGAAAGAATGCTATCTCAAATGATTGCAAACCCATCATATGATCCGCTGTCAAGCCTTTCAAGCCTTAACCTTTCCTTTGCTACTCTATCCGATCCTAATCACAAGAACCAAAATTGCCGAATTTCGTCTTTTGCAGTACTTTGAAAAAAAAAAAATTTCAACTAGCAAATGATGTAAATACAAACTTTTCTGAAACATGTCAGAGAAGATTGTCTCACTGATGCTACTCATTATCAGAGTATGACTGCAATGATACAGTTGGGATTAAACTTGTCTTGTCTATGTCTCTGGTGAAAACCTGAAAGGGCACCTTCTAAAAAAAAAAAAAAAAAAAAACAAAAAAACAAAAAAAAAAAAAAAAAAAAATTGAAAATGAAAAGGGTGGGGGTAACCTTAGTGAAAACCCGAAAGGGCGCTGAGGTAGGGTTTTGGAGTACAAGAGAATCAGCGGCAGAGAAGAAGATGTTGAGGTCTGAAAGCTGGTGACTATGTTGATTTGGGTCTCGTTTATACTGTTGTTCTTTTGCCGACAATGAATTCCAAAATGGATGACTACGAAAGGGTCAGATGGAACATTTTTCCTCATCAAAGGCCATCCTCTAAATACGAATCCAAATTTTGATCCTTGGTCTGTATTCAAAAATTCAACAATTTTGTTTTACTATTCTATTTGCAATTTATTTATTCTGTATCATTACTTATTTTACATTAGCATTATTGCATAATATTTTTTTTTTTTTTAATTAATTGTTTAATGTTTCTCATTCTTTGGGTCTTATTCAAAAGACAATCCCTTATAATTTATCCCACGGAAGTCATGAAATCGAAAGTCCTGTGATAATAAAGTACTGTCAGTTGACATTCAACAGTTGCAAGGATTTTGAAGGGGATTACCGACCGAACCTAAGGGAGCGATTTGGCGATACTGAAACTCATGTTTACATGGTTCTCAAGGCGAAGGGATCACATGGTGGCGCAGTATTTCATTACCATGTTTCGTTTCTTCCTTTTTTGCAGGAAATTATGTGACACAATACTGGCTTAATTAAACATGATTCACACTGAGGCAAACGGTAAAAGGACTGAGCTCCAAGTGTTGCTATACATTTCCGAAAAGAAAAAAAATCATCATTATTCCCTTCCTTTTAAAGTTTGAAAAATCAAAAGAGTTGCAAGTCCGCCAAGTAAGTTTTCTTGGTTTATTACTACTTGAGCAACATGCATTTTAATCTTTCAGTTTGATGGTATTGAACTTGCATTTTCATTTCTTTCAGTGTTTAATTGGGCTCGGGTCAATCCCACCAATCTGTTTAAAAAAAAATCAAATCAGAAGATCATATTTAAATTTCTGTTGGTGAGTCTCAGCGTCCACCACGCACCCTTCTATCTCCCCTTCTTGACAATTTAATTTTCTGCTGGAGCGTAATCGCGTCCCTCCGCGCATCTTTTTTTTTTAAAAAAAAATACAAACTTAAATTTCTGTTGGTGAGTCTCAGCGTCCACCGCGCACCCTTCCATCCCCCTTCTTGACAATTTAATTTTCTGTTGGAGCGTAATCGCGTCCCTCCGCGCATCTTTTTCTAAAAGACAAATTTAATTTGCTGTTGGTGAGTCTGAGCGTCCACCGCGCACCCTTCTATCCCCCTTCTTGACAATTTAATTTCCTGTTGGAGCGTAATCGCGTCCCTCCGCGCATCTTTTTCTAAAAGACAAATTTAATTTGCTGTTGGTGAGTCTCAGCGTCCACCGCGCACCCTTCTATCCCCCTTCTTGACAATTTAATTTCCTGTTGGAGCGTAATCGCGTCCCTCCGCGCATCTTTTTCAAAAAATACAAATTTAATTTTCCTGTTGGTGAGTCTCAGCGTCCACCGCGCACCCTTCTATCCCCCTTCTTGGAGCGTAACCGCGTCCCTCAGCGTATCTTTTTCTAGTTATGATAAGTTACCTTTCTTGACTGTTTTAGTTAATAATTGTGCTTTCTCATTCATTTTGTGTTTCATGCTTAGAAGTTCTAAGAAGCTCAAACTTTTTCAACTTTGCAAAGATCGCAGTTGGTCAATGCACTTGTTTCATTGTGGTTCACTTGCATTCGAACTACGTTTGACCTGATTCCCATGGTGGGATACGTAGGCAACTCTACATGAGTTCGGTCACATGTTTTGCAATTTCATTACATCTTTTGTTCACTAATTTCAGCCAAGTGTTGCTTTTCTTTATTTTAGCTCAGGTGCTGTTAGAAGAAACAGGTAAGTAATTTGATGTCTACGTCTTTGTCTTGAGTTTCTTCAAAACTCTAGACAAAGAGGGGCAAGTTGTAGACACCAAATTTTTATTAAATGTTAATATTCTCTTGAATTTTTTCTATGTAATAATTTATTTATTTTCTTACATTTTTATGTGCATTTTTCTTATTTTTGGTTTGTTTAAAAAAAACGAAAAAAAAGAAAAATGACAAAAACAAAACAAAACAAAAAAAATTGAAGAAAGAAAAAAAGAAAATCTCTCTGCCATATCCCCTTTTTTTGGCTCGTTACACACAACATACAAAAACACGATCCCTCATTTCACTCTCTGGGAGGGGGGACTGACAAGACAAAAAAACGGCACTTTGGGGCTCAAAAATAGATACATCTCTCGGCTCTCTGACAGAACAAGAAGGAGGGAAAACACCCCAATACTTCACTGGGCTCTCCCTCTCACGATACAAGACACACCAAAACACTCCACTCTTTCTCAATTCCAAAAAAAAAAAAAAAAAACTCTCGGCTCTCTCTTAGCTCTCAATTGGGAAAAGAAACAAAAAGGGGACAGAAGAAGAAAAAGGCTCTCGGCTCTTTCTCTGGTCTCAACCGAAAAGAACAAAAAAGGAAGCATTCTTCACTTTCTCCCTCTCTGGGCTTGGAACGCAGAAGAGAAACACGGAAGAAGAAGAAACTTTCGCTTGGCCTTTCCTCTTTTCCAGTGTTTTTCCAACACACCCACAGGCATCAGAAAAACTTCAGCCAAGGCAATTTCACTTTCATTGAGGTATTTTTCAGTTTTTTTAAGGCATATGAGATACATTTTGGTTTTAATTTATCTTGCTTTTGCTGGTTTTTATTGTTGTTGTTGTATTGCTGAAATTTGGGAAATGGCATGAACTAGATTGAGGAAAAGGAAATGTTTTTTATGTATGCATGTTAACTGTTTGAAAAAATGCCAAAAAGAATTTTAGGGACTGTTTTGATTTAATGCATCCTTTTGTTGTAGTTTACTTGTCAAACTAAGATTATAGTTGTATTGTAGAGGTTATAAGGAGTATTGTAATATTTTTTTTTTTATGATTTTTGGTGAAAGATTTGGGTGTTTTAAAAAATAAAAACTGGACTGTATTTTGACATTTTGGCCACTTTCAGATCATCTTTTGTAAAAACTAACTCCGGAAATGGAACCTATGCGAAAAATCGAGTGAGGGGGTGTATTTTGGTGAATTTTTGTGATCGGAAAAATGGCCGGCGACCGGCGGTGGCGGCGCCGGCAGCCGCCATGTCAGCCATGGTTGGCGGTGGCGAGGAGCTTCAGCCGGCCAGCCAAGGAAAAGAAGAACCGGAAGGATAGAAGAAGAAGGAAAAAAAGAAGAAAGAGAAAAGAAAAGAAAAGAAAGAAAAAGGGTTTGGGCTAGTGTTTTATTTTTTAGGTGGGCCTGTGGTTATTTTTGTTAGGTTTTAGGGATGGGCTTTGGTTTATTTTTTCTTTTGGGTTTCGGATGGGCTAGGAGGCTGGAGCCCATGTATTTCTGGGTCGGGTTTGAGTGATAAAATGACGGGCTGGCCTGCTCGTTTCTATGGATTTTCGGTTGGGCTTAGGTAGTTTTCGGCCCAAAGAAATAAATAATGGCCCAATGGCCTTTTTCTCCCCAATCAGAAATCGAATTTTGCACTTTAGCCCCTGATCTCTGGAGTAGTTCACTTCGGCCCAGAATATTTTAAATTCCTTTCACTTAGGTACTTAATTTAATTTCACTTTGGTCATTGAATTTTATCTTTCATTTAATTTTGACCCCTAAACTTTGGAAAAATATAATTTCTGTCCCCAAAAGTTTTCAATCTTTGCAATTCAGTCCCTGATGAATTTTGACTCTCTTTATTATGATTGTTTCTTTTCTTTAATAGCTAATTATGTCACTTTTGAATATATTTAACTTGCAATTTTTAGATGTTCTTAAATTTTCTTTGCGTTTGACATGTTAATGTGAATTTAGTGTTTTAACATTGTTATTATTTTCAATTAAAGTGGTGTCATGATTCTTTTGTTCATTGTGAGTATAAATAGGACAATTTGACTCCATTTAGTCACCACTTCAAACGGGAGGTACCCCTATTTTTATTATTTCAATGTCAATTACGTGCTCTTATGTGCTCCTATGTGTTCTTATGTGTTTATATATTTTTATATGTTTTATTTATTGCATTTAAATGTTTATTTAAATTTTCTTATATTATATTTGTTTAGTTAATTTTTATAATGATTCAAGAGGCATTTAAATACCTCGAAAATGTAATAGATAGGATAATTAGATTTGTTTTATTATATTTTTCCCTTCTAGATTGTAGTTAGGCGCTCCCCGATGTAATAGATAGGTTGCGTGTTTATGTGGCTTATGTGTTATGTGTTTTATCCGCTTTTCTTAGGATTTTGGCATCTAGATATTATGTTTACGTGTTATGTGCTACGTGCTCTTATGTGTTTATTTGTTTTAATTTATGTTTTATTTGTTTCACTATGAATTGTTAATGTATGACGTCACCACACTAGTCCAACGCTAGTTGTGGTTTCTCCCTCCGCTTACTTGCTAGTCCAACGCTAGTAAGGATTTTTAGAAATGGGCTAGTCCAACGCTAGACCCTTTAGGTCATCTTGCGCTAGATTCATCTTTGTATGCTATTCACCACATTTTCATGCATATCTTCATTTTTAGGATCTTTTCTCATTTGCATGATATTCCCTATTATATTATCCCCTACCCGCTATAGGTGCTAATCATGTCATTTAGAATTGCATCTCATTTAAATTAGTTCGTTTGCTTGTTCATGTTAGGATAATTATTTTCAAACATGGGAAATGGGTGATTATAACTTTTTAGTTTAAATATCCCATTAATTCTTGTATAAGAAAATTTTATCACGAGTTTTCGTATCCCGTACTCATTATGTTGCATTCCTATTCTTTGGTCACTTATACATATATATATAATTTAACTTTCTTTTTTTTTCATCATTTGCATATTCGTGATACTTTCAAGGAATCATTTTGGCCTTCGC